TGAAGAGGCGTCCAGAAAGCCTGGATACAGCCAGCCAGGGGGATGCCGATGATGAGGAAGACGTTCAGCCAGTTAACATGCTTGTACCAGTTCTGGCGGTTGATCGCAGTGTCGGCAATGTGAACTTTCTTAGGGTCCGCGGCACGAGACCGGGAAGCGTCCGCTGGCTTTGCAGACATTTTGGATGGTGCGTTGTCACTCGTCTACCCTCTACAAGGTGAGTATGTGGAGGGTGGTGGAAAGACGAAGTGGTCGAAGCGGATGGGAGGATCCGGGGGAGGGAGGTTTTAAGAAAGGGAAGGATTGAGGAAGAGACCCAAAGAATAAAAGAAGGGAAGAAAAAAGAATGAGGCAAGGAGAGGGTGGGGAATATAATCCAGAAGGCAAGAGAGGAGTCAGCAAAGGAATGAAGGATCTTAACAAATCCCAGAGGGGAGGGGAAAAAATCGGACGGAGTTGGAACTCGACCCAGGGTCCACTGGCGGGATGATGGTTGGGGAAACGCAAGGTTGGCGGCGAAGATGGATGATGCGGCAATGAGAGAATCCGGAAAGTGATTTGATCACAGGTCAGTCAGTGGTGACTGGTGAGTGGTCTGACTGCTGGATGACTGTGGCCGGGGAGATCCCGAGGTACTTGTTTAAAGACGAATGCAACACACATGGTGCTTCTAGGAGGGAACGGGATATGAAAGAATAATAATAGGTACTCATAGACTGGTGAGTGTACAGAAAAGTACAGCTTCAGGTTCGGGAGGGAGAGTTCCAACCATGAACCATACAAAACACCCGTTCTTCCACCATCTGGACTCAAGTAAGCTTGTTGGGCGAGACGTGATTCGACAAACCAGCCCCGGCCAGCCTCTGCCCATTTCGGCAGCCCCGGCTACGTCCAGCCAATCAGCAGTCCGGTAACATCTGTTGAATCCCCAACGTTTTTCTGTCCTGGCAGGCGGCTGTGGCTGATCACCGCCTCCCTCCGTGGCTAGTGTGTGGCAAGGCCCCGTCTATTTGCCATCCAGTAGCTCTTTTCTCCGCTGCTGCACACCAGCTCCCCGGCTGATTCGTTATCAATCTCTAACTACTAACTACAGGTGGGCTGACGGAGGGAGCAACTCCGGGGTCATTAGCACTCGAGTAAATTCGATAAATCAAGGCCATTGCAATGTGTTTTGGGCCGGGCGAGGAGTAGTTCTGGAATTCCCAGGAAAGCAGCTGATGCAGCCCTATGGGCGGCAACCATGAATTTTCGTCCAATTTGCCACTACGGGAAGTCAATGATGGTCCAGGCTAGCTTGCACCTCGGGTCAACCTCGTAGCTGATCGTCGCCATATGATTCAGGCAGAATCAAAATGCCTCCCACAGTCCCAACATGACCAGCTCAGGCTCGGTAGACAACATCCCAAAGCTTCGTGTCTACGCATGATGCCATGTGAACCTCCATAGTTTGAAGCATCGCAACCAGTGTAGGGTAGTTATCTAAGCTCTTACCTGCTGCAGTGGCCTCCTCAGTACTCCAGATGGAGGTCTCTTTCTGAGTATGTCTCATGTAGGGGATTGGGAGCACAGATGTTGCGCATCGAGTCATCGACAGAACTTGGACTAGTCTCGTACCCCAGACATTCCAATGGTGCCCACCTCGTCCTACCCCTGCCTCAGGCAGAAGCGCGGAGGTGCAGAGATCGAAGCGGTCACTTGATGTCAAGGTGCACGAGCACAAATATACCTACGGTAGGATATCCTCATCATGGCAAGGTACGGAGTAGGCAAGGACTCTCCATATGCTTGAGTCAGCTGCTTACCTAAACATACCCAAGATTCCTGGAATTTGCCGTCGATGTCACAGCTAAGCTATTGCTTCGCGTCACTTAAAACTATCCAGTGCATAATTTATGGTCAGGTTTGATTCCTCAGACTCCATGCCACCATGACCCAGTTGGCAGGCAGGTAGGACAAGTCATTGGCGGGCGACTACTCCGGACATCACCTGGTACCTCACTTGGCTGGTAGTTGTACCACCATGCTCATTCTGTGCAACGGACGAGATGCAGTCAAAAATTGGAATGACTGTTAACTCAATTCAACTCACTAAAATAGTAGATGAATTAGTCAAAAGCCGGAGTCAGCGTGGTTGTGATAAAGTTGGCACCAGTTGACACCAGTTGACGGAATCCGGACTGACATTTACCCGCTGCCGTGTCCTCGAATAGCGAATTTCCGTGACTAATGGATTGCCCGATCGGTTCTGGTTCTTCCCCGGACTGTTCGACCCATGCTCAATCCATCGTGGGCTGTACTCCATACAAATTCCCGTACTTTGTCTACATATCTCATCTCTATCATAAAAGAAACAGCTCAACCCCAGACGGTTCGACCGCATGGGAGACAGAGAACTGGGGTTCGCACTCATCCCGATCTATACAGCCAGATAACTATCCACGAAGCTCCGGCACCGAAGATGGACGTCGGCGGATCCCGATCTGGGGGAAGAACTGATAAGCCGGCGAGAGGCGTTACATGAATCGACAGTCAGCGAGCTTGAGTCTTATCGCGCGGGACCCCACCATGGCCACCCAAGACTCGACCTGCTCCTCCTCTAGTCTCTCTAGTCCAGTCTAGTGCTCTCGCTTGGGTATCTCCCCAGTCTCCAGTCGGTCGCCTCCCAGTCGTGGAGAGCCTAGAGATAACCAGTCCAAGGCATTATTCGATTGATTCACGCACCTCCACGCCACCGATAGTCTCCTATCATCATTTGCACCCGATCGCTGAGATCACACGAATTTCCTTCGGAAGCCGGTAATGAAGCTATTATCTATATAGACATCAAATGTTTCGAACAATTCTGGGGTGATCTCAAGCTAGAATCCCCAGATCCATTCCACGAGTTGAGAGCTCGTCTAGACCACAATCCGATTCGGCAATTCTATATACCGTTCAATTTACTACCCCCCGTCTCCACCTACCTTTGTATCCATCTCCAAGTATCACTCAGCATGGACGGACCTGATCAGATCGGTCCCGACTTGCGACCTAAACGGTCCTGGCGGGAGAAGACCCGGCGCATGGTCAAGACATTCACTACCAGGTATGTGTGCTTGGTCGAGTCATGATAGAGCCGTTCCTCCATACTAACAAGTATCTTGTAGAGAGGGACTGGTCGGTGACTACGATTATGCATACCTTTTCACCCCCAACCTTCCTTTCATCAACAGGGGCCGCAAATCCGCTCCCTTCTTCGGGCTGGAGGACAAAGTCCCCGTTCTTTTGGCCCTCCTCTTGGGTTTACAACATGCGCTGGCAATGCTGGGTGGAGGTTCGTTGGACAGGTTCCTGGAATTACAACCCGTTGCTGACTTCAATAGTCATCTCGCCTCCTATCCTGATCGGTGGCACGAGTGGTGCCAACTTCGGCACGAAAGACTACGAATACCTGGTTTCAACTTCCCTTATCGTTTCCGGCCTATTGTCTGCAGTACAGATGGCCCGATTCCACGTCTACAAAACTCGCTTCTATGTCGGAACGGGGTTGATCTCGGTTGTTGGTACCTCGTTCGCTACCATCACCGTATCGTCCGGAACGTTCAACCAAATGTACACGTCGGGATACTGCCCGGTGGATAGCGATGGGAACCGCCTGCCTTGTCCGAAGGGCTATGGGGCTTTGCTGGGCACGTCGTGTCTGTGTTCCTTGCTCGAAATTGGTTTGTCGTTCATGAGCCCTCGGATTCTGAAACGCATTTTCCCGCCATTGGTGACCGGCCCCACGATTTTGTTGATTGGAGCCAGTCTGATTCAGTCGAGTATGGAGGACTGGGCTGGTGGCTCGGGAACCTGTTTTACGGATGCAGCCAGCCGTGCACTGTGCCCTAGTGCCGATTCGCCACATGCTCTCCCCTGGGGCAGCCCCGAGTTCATTGGACTTGGCTTTTCGGTCTTTGTGACGATTATCCTGTGCGAACGATTTGGCGCTCCAATGATGAAGTCCTGCGCTGTGATCATCGGCCTGCTCGTTGGATGCATCATTGCTGCCGCTTGCGGATACTTCGACCGGTCGAGCATCGATGCTGCCCCGGTGGCCTCGTTCATCTGGGTCCGCACCTTCCCTCTGACCATCTACGCACCTCTGATCCTACCCCTGCTGGCCGTGTACATCGTGGTCATGATGGAGTCGATCGGCGATATCACCGCCACCTGTGATGTATCACAGGTAGAGGTGGAGGGTCCGGAGTTTGACTCTCGCGTCCAGGGTGGTGTTCTGGGTAACGGATTCACCTGTCTGCTGGCCGGACTGTGCACGATCACCCCCATGTCTGTGTTTGCTCAGAACAACGGTGTCATCGCTTTGACCAAGTGCGCCAACCGCAAGGCTGGCTACTGCTGCTGTTTCTTTTTGGTCATCATGGGCATCTTTGCAAAGTTCGCCGCTGCCCTCACCTCCATCCCCAGCGCGGTGCTTGGTGGGATGACCACGTTCCTCTTCTCCTCCGTGGCCATTTCTGGGGTCCGCATCATTGCGACTGTGCCGTTCACGCGGCGCAACCGCTTTGTGCTGACGGCCTCCTTCTCCATTGGCATGGGTGTCACCTTGGTGCCTACCTGGTTCTCCTACTTCTTCACCTACAGCGGCAACAACCGCGGCCTGACGGGTCTGCTGGATGCGATTGACTTGGTGATGAACAACGGGTTCGCCATCACCGCCATTCTGGGGGTGATTTTGAACCTGATCATTCCCGAAGAGGCGGATGAGGGGGCGGCTGTTGTCGAGGCTCGAGCAGAACCTCGGGCGGTTGAACAGCCGGACGAGCCTGAAAATGCTCAATACACGAAGGGGGAGCACCCGTCTGGAGTTTCAGCTGTATAACTTTGTATTTGCTTTGTTTTCTTTAGTTTGACTGCGACCCTTGCGAGGGCAGATTGATGGATTGGGATACCCTTGAAAGCGATAGTTTGGATTATACGGGATTAAATTAATGCAATGATGATATAAATATTCTATATAGCCTTTCGCCACCGTAATGTTGCACAGAAATTGATCAGACCCCTTCAACCACCTCACCAGGCGCCAACATTTTGATATAGCAATGCTCGCCCGTCTCGAGGACCGTGATCGGATCATTGACGCGAAGCGTGAAATCTAGACAGCCAGTTAGCCTACACAGTCCAACAGTTCCCAGTCTTACAGCATCACCCAACCATCCTCACCACCCCCACACCACCATAAATCTCGGATCATCATCAAAAGAAGTTGGGGGGAAACACTCACTCCGAACCGCAGGAACCAACTGCATCCCCAGACACGCATTCGTGGGATCCCCCCGATCGATCCGCCGATACGCCTTCAGCGTGCGATCCGGCTCCGCGCGATGGCGCACCCCGGTGTCCGGATCGACATTCGGCAACCGACACCGCATCGTCCGACACGCCAGATGGATCTCCACCCCATCACCTCCACCGCCCTCCTGAGAACCAACCCTCACCCTCCGCCACGCATCCTCCTCAAACCGCCCGGGCCCCTGCACGACCACATTCGCGCGGAACCGCCTCACCGTCAGCCGGGGGATCTCGGCCTGACACCGCGCAGCCACATCGCGGACGCTGGCCAGGTTGAGGAGGTGGAGCGGGTACGCGTCCTGGAAGCCGGTGACGGTCTGGAAGCCCAGCTGGTCCTTGGGGGGCGCGTTCCGGAAGATCTGGCGGTGGTGGGCGGCGGATTCGCGGAAGAGCGTGAGGGGTTTTTGGGTTGTGGTGTTGGGGTCGGCCAGGAAGCGGCGCAGGGAGGATGGGAGGTGGTGGCCGTAGTCGTGCGCGAGGGGCGTGTCTTTCCAGATCTTGAGGGGGTGGAGGGGGTAGTTGTTGTTTTTCCGTGTTGTCTTCGCATTGGGGCTGGGGGTGCTGGAGGGGGGGGTCAGCGGAACGCGGAAGGACTGCTCGCGGGGCCACAGGCGCAGCGTGAGGGCTAGCTGGAACAGAGCTGGGAGGAGGGGCAGGCGGGCGAGGCGGGCGGGCAGCGTGCGCGGGTGGTGGATGATCAGCACGCCCTCGGATTGCACCTCGGGGAGGGACGCCGAGTAGTCCGGGCTGGTGGGATCCGGGACCCAGAGCTCCGGCCGCACGAGGGCGAGGTTGCAGAAGTGGCGGTCGCGCAGGGTGCGCGCGGTCCAGTGTCCGGTTTCCCTTTTTGGGTTATCCTGGGCATTGGTGGGCGATGAGGGGGTGGGTGCAGGGGTTGGTGCAGGCGGCTTCGCCTCGATGTACTCGGCAAAGCAGAAGAGTCGGTCGTACTTTAGGCCGGTGTCGATCACCTCTGCCGTGTCGAGCTCGATCCCTCTGCAGCTTTTGATCGGGTAGATGAACAGGGCTTTGATGCGCCATGCTGGGAGACCGGTCGGGGGGTCGATGGCGTCGCTGGGGGAGCCCTCGCTGTACTGGGGGTCGTATTCGTCCGCGATGTTGCTCTTTCTGGTGCCGAGGCGGCGGCAGCCTCGGGGAGGTTGAGGGGATGAGCGGAGGTAGGTTGTTAGTGGGAAGACCAGGAAGATGATGGAGATGATGTAGGGGAGGAGGGGTTGGAGTGAGGGTGCGCCATTGTCTAATGCATTGAGGGTGGTGAAGTTTGAGTCATGCATTGATGGTGGTGGATTTGAATGCTCTGTGTGGATTAAAAGGAGGGTGGAATCGGTTATATAGGGATTTAGGTATATTGTTATGCAGTCTCAAACTGGAAGACAATTGAGGTATGCTGCAATTATAGTCAGGTTATCGAGGTGATTGAAAAGGTGCAGCTCCTCCGCGGGGCCGATATTGATCTTTTTTATCAGATCGGGGCGAGATCGGATCTCGGCTCGTTCCCGAGCTTCCAGAACATCCTCAATGCCGATGGACTGCCAACTGGACGTGGACTACGGCAGGTCTTCGGAGCACTGTCCACTGTCCACTTGGAAGGCAACTGTCTAGAACCTCCTTACGATGCTCAAGTGATAGCTCAACCATGACATCACATCCTCAGTCCAGTCCATAATCAGAAGATCCTCATATCCCGCTGGATGTGAACAAGCCGAGACGCGCGCGCGACGCGTGACCTTTGACTCCATCAATCCATCTCATCCATCCATTCATCATGAATAGACTCGACTTTCTGGGCCTTCCCAGTCAGGACCCCAGTGAGTGATATCGCTACCTGGATTTCCAATCAGATAGAAGATAACCAGCTGACACCCCTAGATCGAGTCATCTCCTTCCCGGCCTCGCAGTCCCTTCACGCGTCCACCGCGTCGGCTGCCTTAGGCAACAAGACCGTCTCAACGGGTCTTCCCCAGCTCGACGAAGCAGTCACCCCGCCCATTGAAGATGATCTCCAAGGCTTCGGGGATCTGCAGAGCAAGGGCCTACCGTGTGGTCATGTCACGGAGATTTTCGGGCCCCCGGGAGCAGGCAAGACCGCCATAGCGTTCGTCTTCCCTTCCCCCTGCCAACATCCACCCCCTCAGTAACCAACACACCACCGCAGCCTACACACCGCAGCAACAGCCCTAGCCAAGGGCGAAACAGTCGTCTGGATAGGTACGTCCCTCTCCCCTTTCTATACCACCACCTATACCTCCATCACACCCCAAACTAAACTTCAATATCAGACACGGGCCCCCCACTCCCCCGCCGCCAACTCAACCGCCTTCTCGCTGCACAGCAACAACCAAACCAATCTGACCCTAGCATCCAAGCCAAAAACCTCATTCACATCCACACCCCAACCCTCCCGCACCTCCTCTCCCTCATCCACCACCCGCCCCCTAACTTTCCCCCACCGTCCACCACCCTTTTGGTCGTCGACTCCATCTCCGCCCCCTTCCCCCCCTACTTCCCCAACCCGAGCGACCAACGCGCCGCCCTAAGCGCCTCCTCGCAGGTGCATGACAAAGCCCACATCCAGTGGCTGGTCAACCGCAAATGGAACGTGCTGAGCGATCTGGCGACGCAGCTGGCCAAGCTGGCTAGTACAGCCGGCGGAGGCGGAGGAGGGAACATGGCCGTGCTGGTGACGAACCAGACCCACACCCGGATACGGGGCCAGGTGCGGGCGACGCTGTGTCCCGTGGTGGCGGGGTCGGCGGCCTGGGAGAGCTGTGTGTTTACACGGATGGTGGTCTATCAGGACTTCGTCAAGTCAGAGGGGGAGGGAGAAGGAGGATGGGGGAAGGGGAGGGTGGTGGAGGTGATGAAGAGGGGAGGAAGGGTGGTTCGCGGGAGGGTTGTCGGGGATACGGTGGTTGGGTTTGGGGTAAGCGAGGTTCGTGTTCCCTGTCTTCTGTTCTTGATGTTCTGTTGTGGGGAGTGAATTGAGGTGAAAGCAAGGCTAACTGGTTTGCTGTTAGGATGGGCTGTACGCTTTGGATACTCCTTCGCCTCCACAGGCCGAACGACCAGAGCAGATCGTCGTGGAAGCAAGCTCCACCCAAAACCCTGAAGCCTCGGCCAGTCAACGGAAGCGCAAAGCGGAAGAGATCGCCGACAGCCAGGATGAAGAGGACTCCGAAGGAGAATTCGGGTGGATTCAAGGCGAAGAGGTGGATGCTGGGTCGCTGGATGGCAATTGATCCCCCTCACCCCTTTGTACAGGGAGGCCATAAACAGTTCTGGCTGTGACCGGACTGACCCGTGTTGATTGTTCACTATCCTGACATCAAGTGCAGGGTCGGAACCTGAGAATTAGATACATACACATAGACACATGCACACATGAATTCATAACCGTCATATCATATCGAGTCGTTACCTCACCTCACCTCCAACAAGCGCGGTGGACCTCCGAATCGCAGTCGCCCTTCTCCAAGTCCGTCCGATCCTTCCATTTCATCGAGACATTCACCTCATTCAACGCGAGATGACGATGGGTCCTCTCCCCGGTCACGCACAACGGGGCCCGCTGCACGGCGACACTCCTGGCCGCCGTCGCCGCCGCCGCGGCCGCCACCATCGCGCCCCCCGACCCACCATGCCCACCACCATCATCATCCTCCCCCTGCTGTCCACCAGCATACCGACTCAGCTGCAAATCCCCATCAATCGGCGCCGGCGGACACCGGTTATGCACGACAGCAACCAACCGGCCCAACACGGCAAACTCCAGCTTCAACTTAATACTATACACCGCGCCCTTCAGACTAATCTGCACGGCATAATAATCCGCATACTCGAGACTCAACAGCACCAGATCCATCACCAGCATCGCAACGTTAATCCCGACGAGCTGGCGCATGATCTTGCGGTTCTCGCGGGCCGCACACATGCGCAGCAGCTTGACGGTCTCCCAGATGTACAGCAGGGAGATGACGACCTCCTGGACGGTGAAGCCGGTGAGCTGCAGCTTCTCGATGATGTTGTAGCCGCGCAGCCAGGCGGGGGTCTGGCGGAGGTTGGCGCCGTAGGTGAGGACGGTGGTGGGGACGTGCAGCAGCAGCACGTTGGCGAGGATCATGCGCAGCACGCGGTGGAGGAGGCGCTCGTCGCGCAGCACCAGGTGCAGCCGCGAGTACAGCACCAGCGACTGGCCCGTCACCATCGTCCACCAGCCGACCGTCAGCACGGTCACGGTCGCCAGCGCCGGCGTCTGCGTGAAGAACTTCAGCAGGAACCCCACCGTGTACGGCGCCACCCCCAGCACCCCGGACAGCAGCAGGCTCCAGAAGTACAGCCCCCGCCACCGCCGGAAGGTCGTCAGCACCAGCACCACCAGCTCGATCACGTTGTACCACGCCACCGCCATGAAGAAGAGCAGCGTCGACCGCAGGCCCCCGTGCTGCGTCGAGAGCTCGCCCGCGATCCCGTCCATCGGCTCTTCCATGCTCCAGTCGCGCATTTTTTTTAGGGCTGGATTCTGCGGCTGCGGTGAGAGCGTCAGCAATCATCATCATCATCATCATCATCATCATCATCATGCTTGCACGTTCTCATTCGACTGCACCAGAAACACAACACACAGGAAATAAGATGGGTTAGCTGGGTGGGTGGAAGTGCACGAGCCATACCTTAAATCTCTTGGTCTCCCAAAGCCCAAAACACATATGGGTTCGATCCCCCACAGCTCCAACACAAAATTCGATACTTGGGAGTATTCTTCAAAACAACAAAAGATTCGAATTCAAACTAAGACAATGCAAAAAACTGGTTGAGTGAACAGTCGTCATATCCCCAACTCTAATCCTCAACCATGGGAATCTGGGAGCTTTTACACTTCCCAACCTCGTGGATGTGGCGTCAAGTAGACCGCTTTTCTTCGTTACTCTCCGGCCCTCATCATACAAAAAGCAGGGGCAAAGACAGGACAGGGCAGGGAAGGAGGAGGTGAATTACTGCACTAGGCTATAGCTGGCGCTGGCGCTGGAGCTCGAGCTGGAGCTTCTCAGCTAAAGATCCCCATCCCATCTTTTCCCTAGGTATCCAAAGATACCCTTCCACAACAGAATCTCGGACTTCTCATTCAGCCACCGCAGCAGCGGCCGCAACAGCAGCAGCAATAACCCAAAACAGAAATGGGCCATCACTCCGAAAGGTCCAGTACAGCACACTCCACGCTGTTGGGGTAGTACAGCTCCTTCCCTTTTCCGGGCATCCCTCCGGACGGTGGACGGACCCTCAGCTTTCCCGGGGGAAGGGGGGGGGACACTAGATAAAGATCTCGGGCCTTTTTGGGGGGTGGGGGGGGAAGCAACCTTGCCCTGCCCTGTCGGCTTGTTCCTGCTTTAGTTCCAGGGACCTAGCATTAACTTGACTCCTGAACTAGGTATGGGATTACAGAGATGTTGAGCGAGTGCTCAATGGGTAAGTCATGTCTCCTCTCTCCCTGCGGGTTTATTGATATCGGCTAAGGCTATCATTTTGGCAACACCGAAGACTGACTGGCGTGTCTGTCAGGTGATGGCCGTGGTTGGGTTTCTGCTTCTGCTGCAGTGACCCGTGGGGCGGAGACCTCGAGTATCTATTCCAGTTGTTCCTCGTGGCTAGCATTTACCTCAAGGGGGAAGAGCTCTTCCAGTCGTCCTGGGGTCGATGGTAGGGTAGCATATCTTGCCGAGATCCCCCAGAGTGGCGGACGGTGCAAGGTTCCTCCCTACTTTAGACACAACCAGTTCTAGCACAAATCACATTCATTGACTTAGTATAGTACTAGGGTTTCCTTTTCAGATTGCGGCATTACTTGGCGATGTCGACCCTCCCCATACATTTCATCACTTGCGTTGGTTGTCCCGGGGTCTTCCGGCTGTCACCCTTGTTCATTGTTCTTTAGAAGCATCATCTTGTTGAAACCTTGCCAGACTTGATAGATGTCTATTATGCTATAAGGTCCCGCCGAATAAAGTGTAACAAGACGGAGAAGGGTTTATAGGTTGGTCAGATAGTCCTCGATCTCCTCTTTGGTCAACTTCCTGAAACGGGGTCCCCGCGCGCCCTCGACGCCCTCAAAGCCCAGCAAGTGATCGGCAGGAGGTCCAACAATACCTGTAAACAAAAACGTCAGCTTGAAACCTTATCCCACAAACGCAGAAAACCTACCAATCTCTATCGTGTCCCCGTTCATCTCGCCCTCAATGGTCTCCTTCAGAGTCAGCAGGGCAATGTGAATGGCATCCTCGAGCTCCAGGCCCTCGGTGTAGCGCTTCTCGAGGAAGGTCTTGGCGCTGGTGGCGTGCTTGCCGATGGCCGTGGCCTTCCACGGGTAGTAGCTGCCGCTGGGGTCGACCTGGTACAGGCTGGGGCCGCCCTTCAGGATGCCGCCCGTCTTGCCGGTCGCCTTCTTGGGCTCGCCCTCCTTCTCCTCGTCGCCGTGCTGGGCATCGCCGGTGTCGGGCTCGATGCCCTCGTCCCAGCCCGCAATCAGCAGGCTGACACCGTACGGTCGGACACCCCCGGACTGCGTCGCCTCTTGTACGACCCGGGCGACGTCCTGCACTAATATACGGGTGGGAGGGTATTCGTTGTAGATGCGCTTGTAGCCCGTGTGCGAGACCTTGCGGGCCTTGTCGACCAGCACCCGGTAGTCCGGGCCCATGCCGGCGTAGACCATGCCGATGTCGGGCGTGATCAGAGAGATCTTGGAGAGGGAGGGGGGGTCGATCAGAGGCGACGAGGACTTCTTCTCGGTGGCGAGGACGATTCCGTTGGTAGCTGTGTCCGGTGAGGCAGGGAGTCAGTAGCTGTAGCTGTAGCTGTAGCTGCGGCGAATCGAGGGCCACGATACCTTTGATACCAAGGGCCGTTACACCCTGGTTGACGGCATTTAGAGCATATTCTAGGCATTGTCAGTGACCCGGCAAAGCATTAGCTGGTTGAAGGTTATTACCAATTTGGACCAGCTTTCCACTACACCCCGACTGTTAGCTGATGTACTCGAGTACTAGCGGAGAGCTTGGCTTACCTGGGGGAGAAAGTGGTCAAAGAGAAAGAGTAACGATCAGCCATGGAGACGATAGTTCACCTCCAGAAGCTCCGGAGAATACTAGGTATGTGTGTGGGGGAGATAGATGGAAGTGATTGGGGATGATGGGGATGGAAAATGGGAGGTGGTGGTGGTGGTGGTGGTGGAGGGGATTGGATTGATGTGAAGCTTCCCTTCGGACAGCAGGCGGCAGGTGTTGACGCAGCAGTAGCAAAGCAACCACCACCACCACCACCAGCCAAGCCGCGCCTCGGGCGGTGACGTTAGGCGAGCGGCTAGTGCGCCTTTTACGCGCTTGACCTTCTCCACCCGCTTCTCTTAAACTGGCCTCTTTTTTTTCCTTTCCCCCCCCACCCCCTCCAAACAATTCTCCTCTTTGTTTTTTTTTTCAACCTTTTTTCATGCAACAATCATAATCGCGGCATTGATCGTATCACAGGCGTCAGATCGCTGGTAGATCTGCTGATTTCTAGACTATGCAACAACAATCTACAAACTAGGAGAAGCAATGGATTCGCGCAATGAGCCGCTCTGGCAGTGGCCTTCTGAACCGGCTGCGCCGCCTCAGTCGGATCACACCGAGCAGGACCCTACAGACACCCCTCCACAGGAGGAGTCGGGCAATACCACAGAAGAGACTAGACAGCGGCATTACTCGCCTCGGACATGTCGCATCTGCCTGGAAACGGTCTATCCCACCTTTCCTCCTCCCTCGGAACATATCCCGGGGTTTCTGCAGCCCCAACAGCGGCCTGTCTACGAATCGTCGGACCCAGAGTCCGGGCGATTGCTCCGTCCCTGCAAATGCAAAGGATCCTCCCGTTATGTGCACGAAGGATGCCTGCAACAGTGGCGCCACTCGGACGCAGGCTATAGCCGGCGCAATTTTTGGCACTGCCCGACCTGTGGGTTCCATTACCGACTAGAACGTCTCCGCTTGGCGCGCTGGATTAGTAGCACCATGATGCAGCTCGCGTTAACTCTCGCCATTCTGTTGCTTACTGTATTTCTACTTGGTTTCGTTGCTGACCCTCTCTTCAACATCATCCCGCACCCTGATGATCCCCTCGCACCCACCGAGTTAAGGGGTATCTGGCCCGTGCAGCTGGAGACCAGGATTCCGGTGCCTGACCGCGAGGTCTCCTGGCCACAACACTATCTCAAAGGAGTGGTCACTCTGGGCCTGCTGTCCTGCATCAAGTCCGTTCTTGCGTTCTCTTCCTGGCCTGGGCTGATGGTGCGTTCCACGCGCCTGATCAGCGGCAACAGCTCCGGCCGAAACACCGGAAATACCGGCAGAACCCGAGTCGGCTGGCTGCTCGTTGTCATCGGCGTGGGTACTTTCTTGTGGGTGAGTGACCTCTCTCCGAACTGTATCTACTGACCTCAGCGACTGATTCGTCTTAGGCTGTCTATAAAGGCGTGCGGGCCTGGAGTCGCAGAACCTTGGAGACAGCTGGCGCGCGTGTGATGGATGTTCCTTTACCGGACGACGAGGATGAAGCCGAGCCTCTGGCTACGGATCCAAGTAAGAAGGACGAATAGCGCCGAGCCTGGCCTCGCACCATTTGTCATGATCCTTTCACAAGCCATCGTAAACCAAACCCTGACATTTCGTGATTTTCGGGTTCATCCTCCCCGCACTACTTAAGTTGCCACTCTCCTTTTCTTCTATGAGGTGTCAATTAGTCGATGTGCGCAGAATGCCACCGACCCTCGTTAACTTCCGAGGCTCGTCTTGATGAGTGGACTTGGGCTGACGCCGGAACGTTTTGTTCTACTGCCTTCCCATATCACTCGCTTATGTCAAACCTGCCCAGAGGGAGGGTCAACCTGCACTTTACTCGATCCAAATAGGCGCTCCGGTTCTCAACGGCGTTTTCGATCGGGGTGCTGTACATGCTTCGTATTGGTCAATAACTTCTCAATCTAATATACATTATCGAGTGGATGTTATATGGAGCTTGTATGACTTTTCCGTTTTGTAACTTTAGCCTTTGGTCGTCGCTATTCCGGCATGGCAGTCAATTTACTACTATAAGTTCCAAGGTTCGTCCCATGGCTGCCCTTTAGGGCTAATCCCTGCTATATCGCAGCTGCAGGGTCCACATTTCTGGGTATGTTCATGGAGCATGCTACCAACGAGAAGGTCAGCGTGCGCTACTCCACGCGTTCATCGAACCTATTCGCTGTACTTTAGTGAGGCATTGCAACATAGCCTCGTCAAGATACGACTTAAATGAATTAGCAGGCAACTTAGAGGAATTTATCACAGAGATGGATATCATTATCCTTGCGATGTATCGCCTCGCCTTCCTCAAGCATACACCACATGTCGCAATAATCGCGAAGTATCTCCCTTTCCCTTCACACCTGAAGCTGGAAGATCTTGAGCCAAACCCTAGAACCACCTCTCCAGATCTCCACCTGAGCTCAACCCATCACCTCAATCAGTTCCAGCACAACTCCCCCTCACCTCCAGACCAAATCACCCTCCATCATCAGCACAGAAACAATCCAACCCCCCAAAGGACTAAGGACTAAACCTCCCCTACCCATCCCCATCCCCTACCCTCCTCCCTACCCTCCTCCCCACTATCCAGATAATAACCCACCTCCCCC